CCGCCTGATACAGACAATGATTTTCACGTGAAAGAAATACAGGACATGATTAGCGTTATACAGAGGATGATCAAGGATGGTAAGGAAAAGATTGTAATTCTAGGGCGGGACGAAAGTATTTAAGTTAATCAAAGGTTCCCAATTGATTTTGAAAATCAATTATTCGTTTTCCATACTTTTTAGAATTTCCCTTTTTCTTTTTTTTTCATTTTTTCTTTTTCCTAGTTTGTTACAAGCTTAACTTGCAGGCCAATTTTCTTTTTTTTTTTTTTCCATATTGTAAGATCGACATAGTTTGTGACAATCTGGAAAGAAGAGAGAAAGAAGAAAAAAGAAAAAGAAAGAAAAAGAAAGAATTAATCTACAAGTCTTGAGAAAGAGTATCTAATTGATTTTGAAAAAATCATTTAGAAACTTTTGATCCACCCTGTAGAAAGATAAAAGCCATTATAAATATCGCAGATTCCTCTCATTTATCTCAATGGATTTTTAGTTCTTTGACTTTGATCTAAGAGTCATCTTTTTGTCTCTCTGTCTTTCTGTGTTCCTTCACACAATGAAAGGATATTATCGTCGTGATTTGCGAAGAAACACGTTTGAAAAAAAAAGACAAGAAAGAAAAAAGAGGGGGAGAGAGTGAGTGAGTGAGAGAGAGAGCGAGAGAGAGAGAGAGAGAGAGAGAGAGAGAGAGAGAGAGAGAGAGAGAGAGAGAAAGAAAGAACTCTTAAATCTAAAAAAACTCATATCAATTGCTTTTAAACGCGTTCGTAAAAATTTCTATTTTATCTTTTCTTTTTCTTTTTCTTTTTTTTTTCCTTTCTCTCGTACGATATTTTCCACGTAGACTTTTTAAAATCAATTATCGCAACTCATACATTCGTATGATCTTTACAGACATATCTGTAAACAATACCAGCGAACCTTGACCATAACAGACATGTTTAAGATTAACGCTGAATGTGATAAAAGCTCTTCCAAAAATTGAATTCATTCGATTATAATAATATTTTTTAGCGATGATCATTATTAACATTATTAATATTATATATAAAAAAATTAATATATATATATATATATATATAAATAGTCGTCGAGATGAATAATTAAAAAATTTCTAATAATTTTTTTTTCTTCAAAATTATACTGAAGGTCCAAATAATTATTTAATTATTGATAATTATAATATTATAATATGATATTTATATAGATAAACAAAAAATATATTTATTAAAAATGTCTATTTAATATCAATAAAGGTTTTGTCTGATTAGAAAAGACGCATGTATCAAATATAAATAATGTCGTGGGGAGAGGATAAAATGATTATAAGATGAGTCTATACGCTCATATCGTCTATTCGTTATATAGCACAAATGCACATACATACATACATATATACACACATGCATACATTTATATATATATACGGAGTATCGTAGCGATGTGTGTATAAGTGTATGGTAAGTATATTTCTTATCGCCCAGTGATAACCAACCAGTAAAAATACATTTTTCATATTTTTAATGGAAGGGTTTTGAATTGTATGAACAAATTGGTGTTCACGATCATAAATATTAAAGAATTGTATTACGAAGCCAACTTACAAACATTTCAAAAGAAAAAGAAAGAACATGAAGACGTTGTCTCTCTTGAATAAATTTTCAATATGTTCTTTGAAAAAATATTATTTTCTGTTATCTATTTCAAAAATAAAAAAAAAAAAAAAGTTGTTTACTAAATTACCACCGAAACGTACAAGACAATTACGTGCATATATATTATATATACTTATATTTATTATGTATACTCACAATATATATATATATATATATATATATATATATATGATATACGTATACATATGTTCATATGATATACATATATAACGATGTATGTGATATGTATATAATGATACTACGTCTGTATTATATATGTATTTCTTATTACTACTTATCATATATTATATACATACTTTTATTTAGCATATGTAATAAGTAAATACATAGATGTGTGTATATGTTTATATATATATATATATATATATATATATGTATGTGTGTGTGAGTTTATATAGTAAATAGAAATTGAAACTCAATGAAAAACGAATCGTGACAATTGATAAAGGTATATGTACACATATGAAATGAGTCGATTCAATTCTCATGGCACGACCGCTCCTTGGAAGAAATACGAAGTAGTTTCGTCGAAGCGACAAATCGAATAAGCACTTTATGCTCAAGTACGAGAAATAAGAGACAAAGCGAAGCATATAATATTACGACTAAGGAAGCATAGAAAAAACGCTGGACACGTTCCTTCGTCTTATCGAAGGACACTGACAAATGTATTTTTTTTTTTTTTTATTTTTTTTATTTTTTTTTATTCTTTTTTTTATTTTTTTTTCTTTTTTTTTTTTTTCTTTTTTTATTGTTTCCTATAATTTTTTTTTTATATTACGAAGAAAGAAGTTTAAAAAGGAAAAAAAAGAAAAAGAAAAAAAAACTGAATATCGCATCGTTTTAGTGGTTTTTTTTTTTTTTTTTTTTTTTTTTTTAATGTTTTTTTTATTTTCATCAAAATAAAAAGAAAGAAAAGAATATTTATCTTGCATTACAATGTAGGAAGTCTGAAAGAAGGAGAAATGATGCTTGGACTTGATAAATGTTCTTTCGCAAGTGATAAAGTGTTAATACGATTTTGATTTGTATCTTTGACGTCAAGAGAAAAAAGAAAAAAAGAAAAAAAGAAAAAATAAAGAAAAAGAAAAAAAAAGGAAAGAAAAGAAAAAAAAATAAGAATAAAAACAAAAATAAAAATGCATTTGCATTGCATCGTACGTGACTTTATACGAAAAATTGAATAATTGTTTACATTGTTTATTAAATGTTTCTCGATGTTCTCTTTGATATGCCACCATTTTAAAAGTGGCCTAATGATATCGCGTGGCGCGCATGCGTCGATCTTTTTCCAGTCACGTCCAAACTTCGGTTCGTGCACACTTCTCTTCTTGTTTTTTTTTTTCTTTTTTCTTTCTCTCTCTCTTTCTCTTTCTCTCTCTCTCTCTCTCTCTCTCTCTCTCTATCTTTCTCTCTCTCTCTCTCTCTTTATTTCTCTTTTTTTCTCTTTCTCTCTTTCTTCTTAAGCACGATCCACAAGCAAAAAAAAAAAGATCGTAATTGGACCGCGAAACGATGGAACTACTTTTAAATACGTTCAAACGTTACAGTAGGCGTTTTGTTTAAAAGTAAAAGTCCGTATCGCACGTAATATATATACAATACAAACAGAACGACCAACATACGAATTAGGAAATTGTTAACGTTTACAAATAAATTTGTTAAGACCTTGCACATACAGTACGATTCTATCGGTAAGAAATATTTTCGATTTCAAAAAGTAATGGGTTTCAATGATTTCGAAAGAATTATGTCCTTCTAAAGAATCCCCAGGGAGCACTGTAATTTTTTTCTTTTTTTTTTTTTTTTTTTTTTTTTTTTAATCGAAACTTATTATCGTTACAATGGAAGAAATATTTCCCTTCTGTCGTGGCACTATCTCGAGGTTACTTAGAATTTTTTCCAACACGTTCTTTTTTCTCTTCTTTTTCTTTTCTTTTTTTTTTCTTTTTTTTTTTTTTTTTTTTTTCTTTACAGCCATATAAAGAAATGATTAAATAAGGGAGTTATCTCAGAAATTTGTTTACAGCTTACTAATGATTACTTTCTTTTTCTTTTTTTTTTTTTTTTTTTTTTTCTTTCTTTTTCTTTTCAGGTCATGTGTTTCAAGCACCGGAGATAGTTAACATAGTTTTAGAACCAGGCATATGGTGAGTAGTTCAAAGTTATATCGATAGGATTTACTTAAGTTATGATTGTCATTGGAATATAATTATAATTGCAATTTTATTACTTATAGTTCCAAGGATGAAGAAGTAGACAATGACTGTGTAGTTAGAGCCCGAGGACTTCCTTGGCAATCTTCCGACCAAGATATTGCCAAATTTTTCCGTGGTCTGAATGTTGCAAAGTAAGTAGTATTATATTAGTTCTTTTGTGGTTATAATTACCTATTAAAGATAAACAATAATATCAATGGATTACTTATCTAATTATTGAAATATTTTTATACAAGCCACTTGGAATCACTTAAAGAAGGTAATTTGGTCAGGCTTTGTGTGATTTTATATTTATAAATGTTAAATCGTTCATTTATGTGACTACTGTTTATATCATGCATCTTTTCTCAATGATTTTTTTTTCCTAATCAGCATGGTCAAGCACTATGATAAGCATTATCTGTGGGTCATATAGATTTATGCTTTATAATCAAACAGATCATCGCTTATCGTATAAATAAGTATGATTAATAATATGTGTCAAAGTACAAGCTTACAGAATGTTCTCGAGGCTTTTAAGAAGGATGAATAACATTGAGGATTTCTATATTTTTAGGGGTGGCGTAGCACTTTGTTTAAGTCCTATGGGTAGGCGCAACGGAGAAGCTTTAGTACGGTTTGTTAATAAGGAACACAGAGATATGGCATTGAAAAGGCATAAACATCACATGGGACCACGATACATTGAGGTTTACAAAGCTTCTGGAGAAGATTTTGTTGGGGTTGCTGGTGGTACTACTAGCGAAGCACATGCTTTCCTCTCAAGAGGAGCTCAGGTTATCGTTAGAATGAGAGGATTACCTTATGACTGCGTTGCTAAACAAGTGGTACGGACAAACTTCTATATCTTGTAAATAGGTTATAAAACTGTGATTCATTGAAAACAGAAAAACTACATATCTTTTTTTTTTTCCCCAAAGATCGACTTCTTTTTATCTGGACAAAAACCTTGTCATGTGTTGGACGGTGAGGACGGTGTATTATTTGTCAAAAAACCAGACGGTAGAGCAACCGGAGATGCATTTGTCCTTTTCGCACAAGAGGAAGATGCTGTGAAAGCATTAAGTAAACACAGAGATTGCATTGGCAGTCGGTACATTGAACTATTTAGGAGTACAACAGCGGAAGTACAACAGGTTTGTAATTGTGAAATGAATTGTATGTAACACCGAATGAAATTTTCTTTTTATTCAACTTCTTCAAATTGTGACCTATAGGTTCTGAATAGGGCGATTGATCCAAAGCCGTTCGTTCTCCCAGTACCACCTATTCCACCATTGCAATTTTCTCAATTACTTCCTCAACACATAATCACATCGGGCACGCGTAAGGACTGCGTGAGGTTACGTGGGCTCCCCTATGAGGCACTTGTCGAACACATACTTGAATTCATGGGAGAGCACTCGAAAAACATTGTCTACCAAGGCGTTCACATGGTATACAATGCACAGGTAAGAAAAACGTCATAGGACATAGAGTATAGGGCAATAAATGAGGTAATAAGTAATAAAGAAAAATCATTTGTTCTTTCAGGGTCAACCATCCGGAGAAGCATTCATACAGATGGACAGCGAAAGTTCGGCGCACGCCTGTGCGACACAACGACATCATCGGTATATGATCTTCGGAAAGAAACAACGTTACATAGAAGTCTTCCAATGTAGTGGCGAAGATATGAATCTGGTATTGACAGGTGCAGTAGCTCCGCCATCAACGAAGGCTCTACTATCTCCCGGTACGTTGAGCACTCAATCACCCGCATCTCTGACACATTCGGGTCCGGCGACGCCGGTACCGATGCCGGTACCGACGGCGCAGCCTCCCCTCTGGGACATACAGGCGCTCGTACAGGCACAGGCGCAAGCACAGGCAGCGCAGGTTCAAGCTCAAGCTCAGGCGCAGGCGCAGGTGCAGGCCATCAGGAATCAGGACTTTTGGCTGATGGCCTTGGCCTCTAACGCGTCCCCCACCTCGACGACTCCAGCCTCGCCTACCTCCTCGGCGACGAGTAAGACCTTGGCCCTTACCGCGCCCAATCCACCTCATCAAATTCCTGCGTACGCGATGACACCTCCAGCGGCAGCCGCAGCAGCCGCAGCTGCGGCTGCGCTTCATGCTCAACAACCCACTCACGCACCGTTCTTGCTCTTCAATGTTCCCTCTCGTATTCCAATATTAAGGGCACCGACCTCTCATGGCATCTTGACACCCATCGTCGCGCAAACTGCTCCTATTAATCCGGCTGCATTGATGGGCCTGAAAAGAACCTGGGAAAGTGCCTTTCCTACCGAAACACCCGGTACGGTAGCCAAGCGTGCTGCTTGGCACCCACCAACGGCAGCTTTTCATGCCCATGCGCCTACTGCTGCTCCTGCCTTGCCCTATACCGCACAATTTTATCCTCAAATATGATACGCGAAATTGACTATTCTTTCGCATACCACCTACAGACTGCGGTTTTTTTCTATTTTCTCTCTCTATGTACCTACATACATATACTTCTTGTCATTCCATCTATCTTGCTATTCCAATTCCTTCCTTCTAACGAATGAGAAGATCTTAGCTAAGTCGGTCTATCTCGCGTTTTTCGGATGGATTTGCTATCTAGCTATATATATATATATATAGACATTTTTTTTCTTTTTTTTTTTTTTTTTTTTAGAAAGATATCACTTTTTGATCGATTTACACTTTTACGTCTTAATAATCTTAATCAGCAAAAAAAAATATTTTTTATGATTCATTAATTTAGAATCTATTCGAATGCCTTTCGAAGCTTCTAAATGAAACTTATTCAAGAATGTGATAAGCAGTAGTACTTATGGGCATATGAGAAAAAAATAGTTTTAATTTAAATTCATAAAACCTTTGATTGGTAGCGCACAAATCGGACTTTCTCAAACGATCGTCCCATTTTTGTAGGTAGTATATTTTAGGATAATATCGTTTCGATTCTTTGTCCGCATTGTACGCGATTACGATTTAAATTCTCGGAGTCACGAAGGGAATTATGTCAATCGATTGACGCGTAAAATTAGTTTTCTACGTTGACGAAGTTATTTCGCGACGAAGCGTGCAGGAAAGTGCCTTAGAAAAAGTGAAGAATTATAAATATGTTTATATACGAGACTTGTCCTTCGTAAAAATCGTCTCGTAATCTTAACGATCGTCACGCTAACATACGTTTCGTGTACGTATATATACATGTATGTATATGTACAAGCGTGCAGATTATTTGTAGAGATGCATATACATTTATATATATATATCTATATTTATATATATGTATATATATATATATATGAATATAGATTATATATAAACATATACATAAATTTATATATTTTGCTAGAAATATTTCTATTAGTTTTTATAATGTATGGACATTCCATCCAAATGTTATATAGATTAAGTCCTCATTCCAGAAATGTTAATCATTAATTTTTTTCAACTATTTGTCTATCTTGTGCACGTCTCACGACATTCCTTCGAATGTATGAAATACTGCGCGCGATCGTTCTCCGTTCGAGTCGAAAGTTTTTCGGACGAATCACAGAACGTATAATAAAGAAGACAAAAGAAAAAAAGGACTAACGTTATATCTTTATTTTTTTTTTTGTTTTTTTTTGTTTTTTTTGTTTTTTTTTTCTAAAAATTCTGAAACAACAAAACAGAACAATTGCCTATTTCACTGCCAACGACGAATAGCTTTCAATCGTTAGTTTTTCTCTTTTCTTTTCTTTTTTTTTTTTTTTTATTTTTTTTTTTTTCGAATTATTATCGCCGATAATATTTTAAATTTCATTCCTTCTTGCCATGCTTCTTTTGTACCATTAATTATGGATGTAATAGAAATGTTATGGATATACAAGAGAAATCGAAAGAAAGAGAGAGAGAGAGAGAGACAGGGAGAAAGAGATAGAGATAGAGATGCGATCGCGCGAACATATATATAGATATAGGATCATAAGCCCGTGAAATTTCAAATCTACGAGTATATTTAACGGAATGGTTGCTGCATGTCGTGTACCGTGGAAGGGACGTGCGTACAAGTACCTGTTAATATTTCTCTTCGTTCTTCTCATATCACTTTCCTCGAAACGGATTATCACACCCATGATCCGGCTAATTATTTTTCTTTTTCTTCTCCCTCTTCTTCGATCACCCTATAATCCTTTTTCTTTTTACAAATCGTAATGATTTACAATACAATCACATAATTTTCTTCCTCGTTGTCGTTGTCCTTCCATTTGTCTTCTTCTTTTTTATTTCTTTTTTTCTTTCTTTCTTTCTTTCTTTTTTTTCTTCTTCCTTTTTTTTCTTTTTCTTTTTTTTTTCTTTTTTTTTTTTTACATTATTCCATCTTCGATCAATCATCCCCAGCACCTTGTAACTATCTTCTTGATATAATAATAATTAATAATAATAATAGTAATAGTAATAATAGTAATAGTAATAATTTTTGTCTAGATATATATATATATATATATATATATATATATATATATATATAATTTTTTTTTGTTTTAATTACTTGTTTTAATTACTGTGGTAGTCCTTACAATTATCTCAGCCACAAGCCTATCTTTGTTTGACAGGATGCGGTAGCGTGTATTACATAGAATCGAGTAGTATTTTTTTTTCTTTTTTTTTTTTTCTTTTTCTTTTTTCTTTTGGTACGTTGGGTAACGTCGGACGTTCGCGTGATATACGGCAAGAAAAGAAAAAAAAAAAACAAACAAAAATGAAACAGTAAAAAAAAATGGTGAAATATTTATCATAATAATTTTGTTATCATTGTCGTCGTCGTCGTCGTCGCCATTTTCGTCGTCGTCGTTGATTGTTGTTGTCATTGTTATTATTTTCTTCCTTTATTGTACTTACAACAGACACATATACACATACACACACATATATATATATATATATATAAAACAATGATATATATATATGTATATATATATATAATCAAACGACGCGCGTGTCCGACGTTACTGCGAATAACATAGATTCAAGAATCGGGTATTGCCTGCCGACGCTTAAAGTCGGGATTGCGCTTCCTGATTCGGCTTTACATAGCATTAATATTACATTAATTATATATAAAGGAGTGGAACGTTGCGAGACGTAGAGAGAAATTTAATTTAATAATACTTTCATTTCCATTTTCAACTTTTTATCTTTCGTCTATATATGTATATATATATATATACGTTTTATATATATATACGTTTTATATATATATATATATATATATATATATATATATATACATTTTTTTCCTTTCTTTTTTTTTCTCACTTTCGTCTCGCATCGTTTTAGAAAACGGGTGCATTTTGGAGAGAGCGCGTCGATTAGAGTTGTCCGATTTGAGACACGTTCTACATGTTTATCGTACGTTCGATCGATAAAATTCTTTATGGATTTTCATGGATTTTTTCTTTTTTTTCTTTTTTTTTTCTTTTCCTTTTTTTTTCTTTTCCTCGAATTTTATCCACATTTTCTCTCTTATACTTATGTATCGTTAGAAAAAAAGAAAAAAGAATTTCATATCTTGTACTTTGAACAATACGGACGTGTCTAATTCGTGCAACATACTCATATCCTTAGTTGGTACTTATTTACATTGTATGTTTTAATGGTTCACGCCTTGGTGGTAATGAAGGAAGCTCCTTCCCATTCTATACTTCCTATCCCATTCTTCACCTCCTATCCTCCACCCCCCCCCACCCCATATGCGAGAGATCGACATATATGCGTGCACATTACATGTTCTAATTGCATTACATTTTAGTGCCGTTAGCTTTCGCTGGGAATTATCACGCGACGCCGCGAGACTTTGATATGAGCACCTTTTCTAGCTACTATTATCTCTTTTTTTTCTTTCCTTTTTTTTTTTTTTAAATATATATGTAGAGGGGGAGAGAGAGAGAGAGAGAGAGAATGAATGAATGAACGAATGAAAAGAAACAAAAAATCAGCTCCTTACCCTTGCATTATTATAATAAGTGCACACACACACACATACACATACATACATACATACATACATACAAATGTGCCGCTAAATCTGTCTTCTACTGATCTTTTATTATTATTATTTTT